TCTACTGGGCACTAGTATATTGCATGGGTTCTGCTGGGTTTGCAAACTCCCCTGACTTGGATTGTGATGCTGTGCTTGACATGAGTTCTGTTGAGCTGGCATTGCCACAGTGGCACTGGGTTCTGCTGGGCACTCTGTACATTGTGATGGTTCTGCTAGGCTTGCAAAAATGCCCCCCCCCGGCTTGGATTGTGATTGAGCTGGCATTACCACATTGGGTTCTGCTAGGCACCAGTATACTGCACTGGTTCTGCTGGGCTTGCAAACCTGCCCCCCCCCCTTGCTTGGAGTGTTATTCTGCGCTAGACATCAGCCCTGTTGAACTGGCATTGCCACAGTGGCACTGAGTTCTACTGGGCTTTGCAAAAATGTCCCCCACCTTCAGTTGCTAGTGCAGAGAGTAGTTTGAGCCTAATACTGTTGGGTTTACACTGACCCAGTAGCACTGGTTCTGCTGGGCACATTGCACTGGTTTTGCTGGGCTTGTAAAACTGCCCCCCCTTCAGTTTCTATTGCAGAGGTTATCCACAACTCTGATTCTGTACTGCTGGGCTTCAATTGCCCTTGCTTTTTTGCTGTTTCTTTTCCTCCATTGGAAACAATGGAGGATGGGGACACCTTCTTTGGGGGGCTGTAACTCAGACCCTTTAAATCTAATCCTCACCAAATTTGGAGAGTAGGAGAGGAGAGTAAACCAGAGATCCCCTGTGAGTTTAGTGTCTCTAGCTTACACCGGAATGATTCTATACACTCCTGAATCTGTACCTGTCATTTCCCCAGAAAGCACTTTCCTAAAGGCACTTTTTTGGGGGGGCTGTAACCAATGCTCCCTCTAAGCTGTGGAGTCTTGTGAGCAAAAATTCTACTTTGTGAGCTACTGGCATTAAAGTTGTGAGTGAGCGATTTGGCTGCTGCATACATTAGTTTGCTCTGGAGCCATCCTTCCTGAGCGAAGACAAAAATGTGTGAGCTGGAGGCTAAAAAACTGTGAGCTAGCTCACACTAACTCAGCTTAGAGGGAACACTGGCTGTAACTTGAACTCCTTAAATGCAATACACATCAAACTTGAAGAGCAGGTAGAGGAGAGTCATCCAGAGATCTCCTGCGAGTTTGGTGTCTCTAGCATGCTACAGGGGGGGGGCATTCTACTGTGTCACAAACCTCACAAACAGAACCAGTTCTTTTACCTCTTAAAAGTTCATGATGGTTCATGGTTCACAAACCAGGCAAGCCACAGACCACAAACTGAACCACATTTTCTCAGTTCATGCCCAACCCTGTTTCTTAGATCCATAAGGTACACCAAACATTTCCAAGCAAGCTTCTTAACCAGGACTGTTAACCTTCAGGTGGGGCCTGGAGATCTCCCACTATTATAGTTGATCCCCAGGCAGCAGAGATCAGTTCCCCTGGAGAAAATGACTCCTTTGCAGGGTGGACTCTGTGGCATCCCCAAACCCTGCCTTCCCCAGGCTCCAGCCCCAAATCTCCAGGTATTTCTCCACCCATAACTGGCAACTCTATTCTTAACCTCTCCCCACCCACCCACTCTGAAATGCACTCTCTTTCCAACACATGCAAGCAGCTCAAATGGAAATGCTTCTCTGCAACCTTGACATGCCAGCAGCATCCAAGGGTGGGAAAATGCCCTCGTTATGTACCTCCACTTCCCTCACCAAGAATTGTGTGTCAGACGGAGTTGTCGGAACTTACCCCAAACAACCCAGAAGAGGATACAAGGGCACAACACAGAATGACATCATTGGGTCAGAGAAGGGACGGAAGAGCGAGAACCCAGCCAAGAAAATTATGGAAGATCGGAGGGAGTACAAAATACGAAGACGCGAGCCCCTCTCATTACCTGAACCAAGATACCACCGACAACTGCCAGAGCCGACGAAAAGAGGAAGTAGAAACGCCGGTCCAGACAGGAGGGAAGCTGAATGCACAGGATACAGAGTTCTGTTCCTTTAAATGGGGAAGTGGGTTATGTGGAAATAAAGAGGAGAGATACACACAGCCGGGGATGACAAAATCAGAACGAAAGGAGGCCTGGGAAACAGCTGTGAAGTAACACTGTCCCAGGGGTTTTCGCATGGATAAATAGTGAGAGACCCGAGATTCGAGGCTCTTCCAATAGAGTTCTGAGGCTGTTGTTGTATTATGCCTCATATTACTTTAATCCACCCTCCTCATTGTGGAATCTGGCGACATCCGAACCAGAGGACAAACGCTATTCATGACAGTGGTGGCCCGTACAGGGATTTGAGTCTGTACCCCCAACCCAAACTTCCCCGCCCTGCGGGGTGGGTACCTCCTGCTTTGAGTCAACGTCCTATGGAGCCATCCAAGATGACGACAGAACCAGTGAATCCCCCGACCCACCAGCCATTTGACTTTATCCAATTTTCCCAGTGGATGGCTGAACGACAAGAGTGGGTAATGCAAGAATGGGTACATCATCAACAAGAAACACAAGCGGTATTGGTAAGGGATTTATGTAAGACCTGGGAGCAAACTAAGGGACAGGCAGGGACGCCGAGTGGGCTCCACAATCCTCCTCCCTTGTTGACTAAATTAACCCCAGAAGACGATGTTGAGCTATTTTTGGAAACGTTTGAAAGAACGGCCGAAATGGCTCAGTGGCCGGCAGCCCAATAGGCGTATCTTTTGGGACCGTATCTTACAGGGAGGGCACAAACTGTGTTATGCTCACTTTCCAAGATACAAGCCGCTGATTATCCCACCTTGAAAAAGGCCATTTTAGACCATTTTGAAATAACAGATGAATCCTTTCATCAGAAATTTCGTAATCGTAAATGGAAGGGAGATGAGAGGCCTTGCTTATGGGTAACCGAACTAGCTGAAATGTCAGTGATGACGGCAAATCCTAAGAAGAGTTTGATAGGCTTCAAGGAACTAAAGTATCTAGGGTTCATAGTAGGACAAGGTGTAATTAAACTCAACCCCAGAAGGTACTACAGATACATGATTTCCCACGTCCCAAGTCAAAGAAACAGTTGCGACAATTTTTAGGGCTTGTAGGATTTCATAGTCGATTTATCACTGGATATGCATCTAGAGCGTCACCTTTGACATGTTGAAAAAGAAGGGCCCTACCCTACTCGACTGGTCACCAAGACCATCTCATGCTTTCAAGGATTTACAGAGAGCCCTGCAAACGGACGTCGTTCTACAAGACCCTGATTTCTCCCAACCCTTTTTAGTTCAAACCAACGCATCGGCCATGGGTTTGGGAGCAGTTCTGGCACAGAACATAGAAGGGGCTGAAAGGCCCATCTTATTTCTCAGTTGGAAACTTTCAGAGACTGAACAACGGTATTCTACTATAGAACGGGAAGCTTTAGCTTTAAAATGGGCGATTACCACTCTCAAGTATTATCTTTGTAATAATCACTTTATGGTGGTGACGGACCATGCTCCCTTACAATGGCTTTCTCGTATGAAAGAAGTTAATTCTCGTATACAACGATGGTATCTTTCTTTGCTACCTTACAGGTTCACTGTCCTTCACTGAGCTGGGACTCAGAATCTCAACGCCGATTGTTTATCTCGTCTCTACGAATGTCCCGCACTCAAGACTTTGAGAGACAGGAGTACGGAGTTAAAGGGGGGGTATGTCAGAAGGAGTCGTCAGAACTTACCCCAAACAACCCAGAAGAGGATACAAGGGCACAACACGGAACGACATCATTGGGTCAGAGAAGGGACGGCAGAGCGAGAACCCAGCCAAGGAAATTATGGAAGATCGGAGGGAGTACAAAATATTACTTTAATATTACTTTAATATTACCTTAATCGACCCTCCTCGTTGTGGAACAAACGCTATTCGTGACATGGTGGAACCCCTTTTGGGGTCAAACCCTTGGAGCAATGGACAGTCTTTTTTCAAGAAGAGCCCCTTGGCCAAGATTTCCCTGACTCTTGAGCCTGAGAGAGCTGAAAAGATTTACCTCTCCAGACGTCTGACAAGAAAACAAGAGTGTGTGCACAAACCAGAGGCCATGTGAAGAAGACAATGTGGGCAAGGGTCAGCGATAAAATGTGGGCAAAGATCAGCGATAAGGCACACCTGTCCTGCTTCGGGCCCACATTTCCAGACTCTGTAAACATCTGGATTGATCAGTGACTCTGATCAACTAAGAGTCCTGACCTTTGCACATCCTGTACCTATGGGCATTTTAAAGCTAAGGGTAGCTTGTTAATTATTGTACTATGTAAGCAGCCTTAAGCATCCTCCCTAAAAGTATCTGTTTTCCCCTGTTTCTGTACGTGCAAGCCCCAGCCTCACCTCACGGTGGGTGAGGGGGGCAGAGTGTGTATAAAATAAATTCTTGCTGCCTTGAAAGGCAGACAGATTTCTCTACCCTCAAGAGAGCTGTCTCGTGTGATTCCTTCAAGACAGCACAAATGCCATGGTATTTTCCATTCATGCCAAACATTACCAGACATTGCATGGCTCAGTGGCAGAACACCTGTTGGCAGTCAGAAGGTCCCAGGTTCAGTCCTTGCCTTCTCCAGTTGTAGGATCTCAAACAAACAAAAATGCTGGGAATTCCATCCAGTGGAACTGTGCAAGTCCTCAGACAGTGTTGGGAAAGACCTTTTTCTGCCTGGAAACTTGGAAATCTACTGTGAAGACAATCCTGAGCAAAATGAACCAAAAGCCTAAATAATATGTTAGTTTCATATGTTCACAATTTTATTAAGATTTCAGAACACTCAAATGTTATTAATTACTGACAGGCAGCCCAGATGCTCACATTCTATGGGTATAACATTGCAGTCAGGAGAATGTCAGTTCTACAAATCCTTTTCCTTACAGAGGAGGGCCCTTGGCATTAGCAAAGTCCAACAGTACCACCCCCACAGTCTCTTAGTATAAGATTACAATGGACACTGGTAGATTTTATAGTCAACTGCTCCCAAACTCCTTACTACAGAGACAATGTCTATTATCTTCTGATGGCTTCCTTACCCGTATTCAAAGATTGCACATGTAAACCCCAGTGGGATAGACAGAAGACACTTCTTGTCCCTTGCCATGACAGACATCCCGTCGGTTTTGGTGATAACTGGCATTAGAAACCCACCCACCCCAAAAAAACATCATCTCAGGGAACTCAAGTGTCCACTTGTTCTGGAGTCATTTAAAAGTCTGAGCTGCCTTAGTCCAAAATGTCCTGAGGGCTCCCTTAATGGAAACATGGCTTTAGTCCACTGAGGACTCAGGTGGGTTACCTGTACCCCAGGCTGGTTCGAGTAAAAGAGCTGCTTATTTGCAGGTAGCCATCACCATTCCTTGGAGCACTAGACATCTTTGGAGGACTCCAAACTCCACTCATTGCTGGTCCAACTGCAGCCCAGTGTTGCTTCCTTCCCTTCCAGCCACCAAGTGTGTGCTGCGACATCCATCCCACTTCCTCTAAAGTAGCAAGTGCACCTCGTTCTGTCCATTCTCCTATTACAACCAGGAGCAGTCAAGTCCCAGAGTATCTAGGCAGAGGGGCAGTGAAAGTCAAAAAGAACAAAGCGCAAACAAGCCTCATCCTTTCCCCGTCTCACACACGCGGCTTCCTACAGCCTCACATCCTCATCTCCGCATCCAAAGCCACATATTGAGAAGACACGTGGAGACCAGCACGGAGTAGATCACCAGCTCCTTCTGACGCCAGCCCATGTATTGCTCCTCCAGACTCCGAAGCCTCCCCGAGATTTTAGCCAACTGCATATTTTCAAAAGGAAAGAAAAGGGGCGGAAGACAAGGTCAGCAGCAAGAGACCGTGCAAAAGAGAGAAGCTGAAGACCCAGGGCAGGCATGGAAAGGAGGCTCGGGAAGCCTTGCTGAAAAGGAAGGCAACCCTCATGGGGCCTCTCCTGCCAGGGGGAGCAGGAACCCCACCTTGGGGGGGGGACCAATAGAAAACCTTCCCATACTTGTTTTCTCATTGCCAGAACCTCGGTGGTGCCAATTTCCTCCAAGGAGCTTTCCAAGATCACACTTGTCTCCGGGGCACTAAAAGGAAGAAGAAAACAGGACCACAAGTGTGCAGAGAGAGAGAGAGAGAATGTGTGTGGTGTGTGAATGGGGCAGGAGGTTGCCCCAATCACAACACTGGCAGTATTTAAGCCAGAATCATTGCTCTGTCATTCCCTCTGACCTCCCTCTCCCCTTTCAAAAGGGTGCTATATGCAATACCAACTTGGGATGTACAATTTTTTTCCCCTGTTCTAGTTTTAATTTTGTTTTTCCTTGTTGTCACTAGTGCATGTGTTCATTTTCTTTATTTCTTTTTGACTTTGTATCTGCTGGGAACAGTGGGAAACACACTTCCGGGGGGGGGGGCTGAATTACACCACCCAGCTAGGATGACAGCCTTATACACCTCCATTCAAGGGATCCTCCTTGCCAAATTTCAGGCAGAGAAAAGATCCCCATTTTGTGGGCAACTATACTTCTTACTCGCTCAGCCGGCAGCAGCAGACCCTTGGCAAACCAAGGAAGCGGGGAGTCTGAAGTGGGAGAGATGACTCTAAATTGAAAGTCAAACCAAATATACGGGCAAGGGGGGCTAAACCATGACCCTCCTTCCTGTGTATGTGTTTTAACTGTGTATGCGTTTTGTCTAATTACTAAACAATATCTGCTAAGTCCCTCTCTTTACTCTCTCCTCTTCCACTAATCTTCTTGACCTCTGAGCCAGACTCTAGAATGTCCAGTTTGGATAAGCTGTAATAATTACATTAAAGAGAAGGATCACGCAGTTCAGACTGACGGGCAACTCTCTACATAAGACCAAGAGACAGCCCACAGAAGCCTGTCACACTGATCCAAAAGGGGAGCCGCTCTCTGTGCACTTTTGCAGCAAAATGAGTTCTGTCACTAAAGGAAATGGGACTAATGGCGTACAAGAGCACCACAAATTTATCACCATCGCTTTACCCGCTTTTTATATTTTCCTGAAATACTTTTCTTAATGGTTTTATTTTGGGCTCTGAGTCAGGAGGTCAGGAACAAGAAGCCCAAGAGAGACTGGAAAAGATTTTTGACAGTTGGGGGGGCAAAGCTCAGTGGGATTAGGAAAAGCAGAATAAAATAAATGATGCGCAGTGAGCAAAGCGTATGTGAACTTACAGTTCACTTGCATAATTTGTGCAGGTCAGAGAATCCAGCTTTTCCTGGTGCAGAGTTTTGGGATGCCTACCGACACAGAACGCAAAGCTCTAGCTGCAGGCATCAGTCCAGATGTTCGTTCCTTCTCCCCTACCACCCCCATATGGTGCTGGGGATCGTCTGGTCCAGTGCAGCAAAATGCAGATGGAAGGGAGCTGTACAGGGAGGCGAGGGCCAGACTTTTGTAATTTCCAAAGGTTCAGTTACTGCTGCACCAAGCAAATGCACATGCTAAAACCTTGTTAAAAAGCACATGCTACCTTCATGCCCCTTGTTAGAAGCAGGAGAGAATCACCTGATTGGGGCACGGCCAGGCTTCCAGAACAGCTGGAACAGCTGGTGTCCCAGGAAACGCAGTGCCTGAAGGATGTTCTGCAGGGAGAAGATCCTGCCCTCCAAAGGGAATGGAGGAAACTGAGGGGCTGGGTTGGGGGGCAAGCTTGTGTCCAGCCTGCAGGGCACATATATACACAACCATGTCCATTCATCCCTCTAGCCAGGCAAAGAGAAACCTGCCTTGCCTTCAAAACACCATGTAGTAAAAAACTGGGTTCCACTGAATATTTCCATGTGATATCCCCAAAGGGTAAAAAAAAAAAATGACTTCTGAAAAGAGTGCAAACACAAACAGCTACCAATGAAACCTGCCCAGACAGAAGGCTTTCCCACATTCTTATTTTCCTTGCTTGTGTGTTCCTGTCATTTTGAGGGTTTTTTCCTTTTCTGCACATGTTTTACTCCCTCTAGTGGTCGATTCAATATTACATCGCTTTATGTCCAGCATAAAAACCTGTGGTTTCAATCTGCAGGAAGATATGCTGAACACAAAGCACTGTACTATTGAATCGACCACTAGAGGAAGCAAAACATGTGCAGGAATGGAAAAAAACCCAGAATGACAAGAACACACAAGTGAGGGAAATGAGGATGCAGAAAAGTCTTAACACAAAAGGTTTTGTTTCTTTTTTTAAAGTCCTGCTTTGGGACAGCCACTCCAGACACTCTTGGTTAGATGGACCGTTTTTAAAAATGAAGTTCCAATAAACTGAAATGTATTTTATTTATTTATGTATTTATTTATTTATTTCACTTTTACCCCGCCCTCCCTGCCAGGCGGGCTGAGGGCGGCTTCCAAAAACCACACCACAGGGCAATATGAACCTTAAAGACACAGTCCAGTCCTCCGGGTATAAGACTATCTGGTGAATAGGGCTGCATTTCAGGGTCTACATCAGCTGATGCCTGTTTTGTGCTGCTAACCAAGAAGATGCCACCCCGGTTATCAGTAATCTTGCACCAGACAAGAACCAGGAGAAGAGGAGCCAGCTGGAGCATTCCCATAGGCAGAAAGACTTCCATACATGCAGCATGATTCCCCCTCCCACTGCAGCCCTAAATATCCCCAAAAAATGTTGTTCTAGAGTGATCCCATCCCTCCCCAGGAGAAGCATTTGGTTGGGGGGCATTTGGGGCTTCAGTGGGAGGGGGGAGATGAGAATATCATGCTCCATGAGTGGAAATCCTTCCAACTACGGAAAAGCTCCAGTGGAGCCAAGCCCCATCTCTCCCCCACTTTATGCCCCAGTACAGCCACCTAGTGGTAAGTGAAGGACCCTTGAAGGAAGAAGATGGCTTGTGGTTTTGCTGGTTCCTGCACTTGATTGTGTGTTTGCATGCACACACACACACCGCTTTTTCTTACCATTCGCGCCTCTGGCTGACACCACACAGGGCCAGCTGAGAGGTCTCACTCAGGATTCTCTCTTTCCGGGCTTTGCCTTGATGAATCTGCAAAAGCAAGAAGGGGGTGGGAGTCACTCCTCAAAATCTCCAACAGCCTCTGCTGTGAGTTCAAGAAACCCCGCAGGCCTTTCTCCAGGAAAACGCAAAGAAGTGTTTGGCCGCAGCGCATGCCTCAAGCAGTGATTTCAAAACGCAAAGAAGTGTTTGGCCACAGCGCATGCCTCAAACAGTGATTTCAAACACACCCAGTGACACCAGGCAAAGGAGACAGGACACAGTTAACACAGCAAGGGATATTTCCGCTTCCAGTTTGTGGATTGGCGATGGCGGTCGCTCTCCCCGGATCTCGGGGGAGCGATTAGCACACCAGCAGCATGGAGGGGTGCTACCTCAAGTGGCATCCCCACGGAGCCTTTGTGATAGGCTCCAGGCCAGAAGGCTTTTGAGGGTTAGCCACTTCGACGGCTCGATGCTGGAGAATCGAGGCTTCCCTCCACCCCGACGGTCCTGCTGTTGTGTGGCCTTCGGGCACAAGCTAATTCGACCGGGACAAGCGTGGGATATTGAGCGGAATAACGAAAGATGTGAGCGAGGTCAGAGATATGACCAGCAATGAACGTGAGTTCAAATTAAACGGAGTATTTTTAAAAAATGATTACACACACACACCCCATGGGAAAAGCGGAGCACAAAGAGGGATGCCTCTTAAGCGCATGAACAGATAAACGTATTGAAGGGAGGAAATAAACAGCGAGTTTATTTTGAGAGACTTACGTGAGTGCCGATAGTGAAGCAACAAGTTTTTGTAGCCCTTGTGAAGCAGTTTGAAATTGTAAACAAAACTGTAAAATGGCGGCTTCCCGAGGAAGGTTAAAAGCGAAAGCACCAGGCAGTCAGAGCCCAAAACCGGAAGAGGGAGCAGACGTCATGAAGATGTTAGCAGATATGCTCAAGCCGATGATGGAGCAACTCGATGGTATTAACCAGCAACTGGCCTCGCTAAACCAAAACTTTGCTCTACAGCAGCGCCAGCTGGCAGAAATGGAGAAGAAAGTGGAGCATTCGACTGAGAAAATTACAGAGATGGACACCGCAAATAAGAAAATGAAGAAAAGAATGGGAGATGTGGAAACAAAACAAAACCTTCAAGAAAATCGTTTGTTACAGCTGCAAATGGAAAAGGTCAACATGATTCTCAGATTCCAGGGAGTTCCTGAAACTGAAAAAGAAGATTTTAAGAAGACTCTGGGTGAGATTATTGCTCCAGCAACAGGCTTACCAGCGGATGAAATAGTAAAAGATATGGAGACTGCCTATTGGGCTTACTCCAAAAACATTAAAAAAAACAGCCTGCCTGGAGAGATTGTGGTCGGATTTGCAAGAAGACAGACCAGAGATGCTATATTAAAGGCAACCTCAGCAACTCCACTGAAATTAGGGAATACATCCATTAAGACTTTAAAAGACATTCCATTTGAAATTCGTCAAAAGAGGAAAAGCTATAAGGACTTAATCTCTTTTCTTCAAACTAATGGAATTCAGTACCGGTGGGCGATCCCTGAAGATGTCATCTTTAAAATCAACAACAGAAGAGAGAAGATTGACTCCATTTTTAAAGCCGAGGAATTCTTGAGACGTCAGCTGGGATCGGGGGAAGAAACCAAAGACGAAGAAACCAAATCAAGTGACTCTGCCACCTCTGGAACGGATGAGCACTCTGCGGTTGAAACGGGTGTGGGAGCAATGAAAGTTGTATACGATTTTAGAGATCGAAAACCGAAGTAAGGGCAGAAGGACTTTGAAAATCGCCTTTTGAAGTAAAGAAGATGCTCAGAAAGTTCTCTCATAATAACTAACATATTAACATAGAAGCTGTGAAAAACAAGAACTTTACAAGTATATTGTGTTACTAACACTTCAGTTATTAGTATTTAGTTTAACATGAATATGATCTCCTTCTACTGGGTTTTTAGTTAGTGTGGGTATCTTTTCTTTATCCATAGTTGTAGCCCCCCCAAAAAAATATTTCTTTGTAGTTATGTAGTCTTATGAAAAAATAATAAAAATATCCCTTCGGGGGTTTCAAAAAAAAAAAAGCAAGGGATATTTCCCCCCACAGTCAGGCCAACCCTGTCCATCCCCATTACGTATGGAAGGGATATAGCATTCCTCCGACTTAATTAGGACTAATGAAAGGTGCCAAAATGGTGATCTCACTATCTAGACTGACGTCTCCCCAAAGCTGCTCTGCCGCAATTAAATCCCAGGGATGGTCTTAGCCAATGGGCAACAAGGGTAGCTTCCCTGGGCCCCATGATTAGGGGGAACCCCAACCGACTACACCCCATGGAGCCACTTGTACACCAGCTCGCTCTAACAGCCACTCGCATCCACCCCATCCCAGACTCCAGCAGTCAGCTTCCAGTGACAGCTCTCACCTGCCTCTTACAGGGCAAGAGCCACCCCTCGTGGGGAGTGGCAGTGATTCTCGGGCCCCATCTGGACTTTTGCCCAGGGCCCCCAGAATTAAGAAGTCCGCCTCCTAAATCCCTCTCCTTCTTGTGCTTCTCTCCATGGAGCCCAGGGAGACAGCTGCTCTCCCCCCCCCCCTTCTTTATGGTCAACATTTGAACTATAAACCACCTCCCAAGTCTGTCCTGGAGAGAGTTACCATTCGTTTGCGTTTCTGAGATCCAGGTCTGGAAACGAGGCTCGGGATGGGGTGCTCCTCATAAATGGTGGGCGGGACTGAAGTCTCCAGGAGGGGGTCAGCCACGGCCAGGCAATGCTGCCGTATCTGGTTCACCAAGACGGGCCTGAAAGCGATGTCCCTGGTTTCTACGGGGAGGAGGGAAAGGCAAGAGTTGGGAAAGGGTCTCCCTCAGCCCCACAAGGAAACACTTGTTACTGGGGGGAAGAAAGAGACAGGAAGAGATCCAAGTAACCTTTTTCACATCTCTGGAGGCACATGAAATATATCGTCTCTGTAGGCATCTAAGTGGACTTTAAAGGTTGATGCAGACATACACACACACCTGAGACTTGAGGACAGGTCTGGAGGGGCAAGGGCAGTGCAGAGAATGCCCCGTCTTGAGTCTGCAGATTAGACCTCATCATCTTTTGCAGTGCCATCCTAATTGACTTGGAAGGATGCAATGCTGCTGAAGACTGCACAGTTAGTCAGCTCAGGGATTCTATCCAACCCAGGCCACAGTTTTCTCACATTGCTCCCTCACTCTGCAAAGGACAACATCTGTAGCTTGCAAATGCAACAACACCCAATACCTGTGGCTTAACTAGCACCAGACATCTGACCACAGAGGCTTCGTCCCACAGGGCATGGCCAGCAGCAGCCCACCTTCAACGCTTTATTGTAAAAGTGCTGGGGCCAGGAAGTGGCTTCCTCAGCCTCTGCATCTCCAGGTCAAATCAACAGTAAATCGAGAGGTTATCCATATGACACGTGTGACCCTCCTCCATCAACTCCACCTCACACCCAAGGTTTGCAACTTCCAGGCACTCGATGTGTCAATTGCGCTGCTCACTCCCCACGTCACAGGAAGTCAAGGCTGCATCAAGTGGGCCACCTTTGTCCCCCAGCCTTCATGCCCCAGCTGCTTTGGCCTTCATTCCTCACTGTCCAGTGACCAAGCCAACAAATACACAGACAAGGATGCTGCATGAACCAATGGGGTGCATTGCCTTACCTGCTGGCAGAAGCCTATCAGGGACATACATCTGGAAAGATGAAGAAAAGTCCTCTGAGGGGCGTCTCTTTGGGTATCTTGAGCTGGAGTCATCTGCCACTTTCAGCCGGTTGGGAACTCGCATCCTCTTGTTGATGGCTTCTGTAAAGTCCAAATCGGCCCTATCGGTCACACTCCAAACAGGCCACATTCTCTTCTTCCCTGTGGCGGTAGACATAAAACATGTGCCTCTTTGTTCCAAATCAAAAAATTAAAAGACATAGTTTATCTCTTCAAATGTGGTGGATTTTCATTTTCTACATGGGGTGTGGGGGAGGGACGTTCTGCATTTCTGATTTTCACAGCCCTTCCCCTTAAGTAAAGAAAAGGCCATGTGCTACCTGCAATTCAGGACCTATATTAAAGGACATAAGAGAATCTTTCTGGGTATCTGCCCAAGAACTGGACATTATGGTCACACACCTGGTAACTGCAGGGGCATTTTTTTTTTACCCATGTGCTCTTCTCACTGGCACAGGCTCTGATAAACCGCAGCCCTGGGGGACAGCATTTCTGATTTTCACAGCCCTTCCCCTTAAGTAAAGAAAAGGCCATGTGCTACCTGCAATTCAGGACCTATATTAAAGGACATAAGAGAATCTTTCTGGGTATCTGCCCAAGAACTGGACATTATGGTCACACACCTGGTAACTGCAGGGGCATTTTTTTTTTACCCATGTGCTCTTCTCACTGAAAGAGAATCTTTCTGGGTATCTACCCAAGAACTGGACATCATGGTCACACACCTGGTAACTGGAGAGGCATTTTTTTTTACCCATGTGCTCTTCTCACTGGCACAGGCTCTGATAAACCGCAGCCCTGGGGGACAACTGGGGCAGGTGGTTCTTATCAGTGGCAGGGATGGCAGGCGTGTTGCATCAACACTGGTCCGCCGCCGCCTTCCTGGAGCCATCCACAGGGCGGTTTTTACCCTTATGATCTCCAACTAGCTTTAAAACAACTTAGCCATGTTGGTTGTGCATTGCTTTTAACTAAACCACGGCCTGAAATAAATAAAACAGAATCAAACAAGGGCTGAGACCCAGAAATCTGGGGCCGTGTGTGGAGCAAAAAGCTCTTCAGCAAAACCTCCACTTGGGCTGTCAGGTTGGTTCTCTCTCTCTCTCTCTCTTTTTTTCCTAAGCCTTGTTCTTTTTATAGGTGCATCGAGAAGGATGGAACATCAGACTGCTGAGGGAGCTCCTGGGCATTTTCCATCAGGGGGAATAAAGGGGAAGATGAAAGTGAAAATTCAGGTCGGAAGCAGCCTTCGCTTCCTCGATCACACAAAAGCTGCCATCCGCCCTGGAGTCCCTCCTGTCTTTCTGCATCCCTCTGAGTCACTCCACGGCCCCCCGTTACACCGCAGTCAGCATCTGCCCCATCACCTGCAGCCTGCTCTGTTAAGAAGCTCTTTTAAATCTATCTACTCCTGCAAATCACCTGTTCAGAATACCTCTCTGCATACCCAAATGTGGTTCAGGGCTTCTAGAGTTAAGAGGACAGTAAAAAATGATCTTGGAGATCACGCTGCAAGCATCAAGGAGGGGCTGTGTGTGTGATCATCCACAGCATATAGCAATGAGCTCAGCTCCTGGCTCTGTCCTTCAGGGGTGCCCTTAAGCCAAGGCCCCTGTCCAGCATGGGGTGGGGGAGTAGGAGAGCCCCCTGGAAGAAGTGGAAGGAGAAATAAATCAAATAATGTCTGATAAACAGTGCAAAAGAAATCACACAAGTACCAAAAGTACCTGGCGCCCTCTGGTGGACATATGGGAAGAAAAACATATTGTTTCTTCTGTCGGGCTCAGACTCCGCTCCACCCACACATACCCTTGGGTGCAGGGATTCCCCTGCAAGGCAGCTCTGCTCTGTAAACCTGAGAGGCATTCTTCTTTCCTTCCTGGAGACTGAGGGGGAGCAGGCAGCTTAGCCACCAGCCTCCTGGTCACTGGGCAGGCTCAGAGGCTCACACCTTTGGTGAACGTTGAAGTGCAGAAGCCGCAGAATGGCAGAGCGGTTTATTAAACAGCCTCATCCTTTTCACCATCCCGCTGGAGCTCAGTCGCATGGTGAGGCAGTGGCCAGTTTTAAACAAGTTAATACGTACCAGCAGGCAAGGGCCGTTTCTTTCTCCCAGCAACATTGCAGCTGGAGAGAACCAGCGCTGTTTTGCTAAAAGCCATCAAGCGCTCCCAAACCAGGGCTGGTTCTGCTTTGTATGTGGCACTGTAGGAATCGTGCTGAACGTCAGGTTTTGACACAGACAAGGAAGGAAGGGAAACAACACAGGCTGGAAATACAAAGTGCAGTGCTAGCCTAACCCAGCTCACTCTCTAAGCTGCAGACACCCCTGCTTTTGCTATGTATCTGATCATCCAGTGATGCCAAATTCAGAACAGAACTGGGGCTCTGCAGGCATTGCCAAGGGAGTTGCCCTCCTACAGCTTCTTCTGTAGACCAAGTGCCCAGCAGCCTGCACTACTGCAGCCAACAAAGGTTTCTCAAGGGCTGGCACAGAGACTCTCCCTGCCCCCCAAGGCTACAACCCATTGGATATCTGAGGCTGGCAAAGAGCACATGTGGAGCACAGAAAGCAATTTCTCCAGTGTCCATAAGTCCAAAACCTGGTTCAGGACAAGCCATTTTCTTTAAAATCCTCCATCATCATGAGGATAACTGGCCCTTGCTCCACCACCACCCCGGCAGCTGTGTGGGACCTGCAGCCCATCTTCTCTCCGCACACAGCAGGGCAGAGTCCTCCTGAGCCCCCTCGAGATGCACAGTGGTAGAGGATCTGCTCCGCCTGCAGAAGATCCCAGGTTTAGTCCCTGGACTCTCCTGTAAAACAAACTGGGTGGCTGATGTGAAAGACCTCGCTCAGTGCTGCCAGTCAGTGGAGAGAGTGCTGGCCTGGGTAGACCAGTGGTCTGCCTCCGTATAAGGCAGCTTCATGTTTGTGAGTGAGGCTGACAATCAGACCCAGATTGGACAACAAGACCTCAGCTGTGGACCTGATTTGCTTGGCGGCAAGCGCTAAACCAAAACTGACAGCAGAACTAGTAACTCCTTCTAGGAACTTCAGATCAGTCACGTTCTCCAAGAAAAATCCTGGCGTGTCTTCATCTGCCCACAGACCTCGCAAAGCAGGTTCTTCCCACTCCCCCCAACTGCTTGAGCCACCCCCCTGAAATTTTGTTCCTGGGGCTCAGTGAACCTGGGGGACCTGCAATGGGAAGCAAGAATTGTTGGAGACTGCCTGTCTCTTTGCCAGAAATGGAAATGCCATTCCACTGGATGAACTATGCAGTTGGATGCACATCAGGGTGCCAAACATGGTAGAGGAGAAGACGAGAAGAAGAGATTGGATTTATACCCCGCCCTTCACTCGGAGTCTCAAATCAGTTTACAAACTCCTTTTCCTTCCCCTCCCCACAAAAGATACCCTGTGAGGCAGGTGGGGCTGAGAGAGCTCTTTCCAAGAATTGTCCTTGAGAGAACAGCTCTGACAGAACTATGGCTTGCCAAAGGTCATCCAGCAGCTGCAAGCGGAGGAGTGGGGAATCAAACCCGGTTCTTCCAGATTAGAGTCCACATTAGCAGACACCTGGCACAGTATGAGATTGCTTAAACCAACTTCCAGCATGTTTCCAGGCCTGGTCCCTACCCCTGACTAGGGAACTCCCCTCTCCCAGGAAGCAGCAGGGGGTTGCGTCAATTACAAACCTGCTCTGTTCCAGAAGGCACTGGAAGATTCTTGATTAGGGGAACTAACTAAAAGGGAAACCTTACGACCTGATTGGCTGGCTACAGAATACAGAACCACAGTTGATTCTTGGGCCGACCCCCGTATGGAGTCAAAGCAGAGCTGTGCTCACTTGGCCTTTCCCAGAGGAGAGAAGTTGGGTTGCCATCAAGCCTTGGGGGTGGGGGGCAATGTTCCCTCTAAGCTGTGGAGTCTTGTGAGCAAAAATTCTACTCTGTGAGCTACCAGCATCAAAGCTGTGAGTGAGTGATTTAGCTACTGCATAAATTAGTTTGCTCTGGAGCCATCCTTCCTGAGCTAAGACA